AACTACTATAATACAACAGGCTTTCTATCTAAGCTATAAATAAGTTAAAAAATTATGTTACATTAAATGCTCAGAGCAGAAAAACACAACTGCAAACTATTTACAAGTGGCAAAATGAAATAACATTCTTGTAAAGAAAAAGCTGCTCTTTCTATTGGTTATAAATAATCAAATAGCAATGTCAGAAATAATTAGATCTTTGTTTGAAAGTCATGTCATGTGGGTTTGATATTTTTTTTATATTTCATTAAAGAAAGAAGATTAGAGGTTCTAAGTCTATTTTCTGAATTTTCAATATCTACAATACGTTTCTGATTAGTTGGACATTCAAAACGTAATACAAGGGTAGACAGAAAATCTAAAATGGGCAACTTGGAGAAGATTGAAAATGTATTTAAATATCATTATTTCAAATTAAAGAATTAAAACTTTGTTAGTACAAAAATTTGAATTATAAGCTTTTTGTTTTGATACCAAGCTTATTAACATACATTGATAATGAAGTCGTTTAATAACATTTTGACAGCAACTCTGTAAAAGGTCACGGCACGTGCACTTTTACCTTCCTATATTTATAGAGCTAATTGGCATAATTAGTAAATAACCCCACTATTTGTGCAAAATGCATTATAATCATAAGAAAAAAGAACAAAAAATACATGAGAAAAAAACAGTCCTTACCTCTTGTGCAGACAGCATAGAAGGTTCTAAAAGTGTTGTCTGAATGGGCACCAAAGTAAGGGGCTCAAAGGTCAAAAAACCCTGATTTCTAAAGTTATACTGCAGAAAATACAAATTTTACATTTCTAACCACTTTTGTAAGCTAAAATTTACTACATTTAAAAGAAAAACTTCACAAATTGAACTGTGAATAAAGCTAAAGTAGGCTTTAAGTGAAGCTTTTAAAAGTAACAAAATGCAACATCACAATAATCTAAAACTTTTGTGGAAAAATAATATAGATACTGTTATTCTAATGGAGGACTTTAGAAGCGTGTCCTTAATGATGTTCTTTGCTAAAGTTGGATAGAATTATGAGGAAATGCTGAAATATCAGTGTGTATCGTAAGCTCTTATATAATGTACATGCTGGCTTGGGAAACGTTAATTTCTGCCTGGAAGGTCAGAGAAAATGCAGTCACAAAAACAAGAAAGAAAGGGGCAAAAAGCATATTTATTAAATGTTTTTGAATAACAAGGATTCCATCAGAGTAATCTACAGAAATTAGAACAGATAGGATTACAATAACAAATATATAAATAATAAAAATCAAGCAAGAACAATTTTAAGTTTTACAAAGATTAGGTATTATTAAAAAAGGAAGGGATTTTTCAATAAACAAAGTTTCTTTTATCAGAAGTTCAGTTTCAGATTTAGTAAGAATTGTAAAGACTGTCCTGCATGTTCATTATGTTGATGTATTGTGGAGCGAGAAGAACTGGTAACTCTTCTACCCGTTTTGAACAATATTGCCACATGTTCATACTTTAAGATGGTGCTTAGTTTCATCAACATAGTACACATACAGAGACTGTACAACCTTCTAAGATATGAGACATTAATGTTGGGTAATTGGAAGGTACTCCTTATTGGGGAAAAATACTTTAGTCTAAAGGCAGTTTTAAAAATAAACTTTACATCGACTTAAGGGTAATCTCAGTTAATTATTCATTTAAGATATTTCTCGATAATAAACACATTATTTTCCGGTATATGTTAAACAAGTGTACATGAGGTATTTAGTTAAGTGAGCATTATAACTAGGTTTAATAGACAAAAAAGGATTTTTTTTAGTACATGTTATGGGTAGCTGTTCCGACTTATGATGTTTTGTAGGAAGAAAATCTTTATGGGAAGAACCACATAAGTAAGCAATGCATAAGGTTACATTTTTTCCTTAACGCAACTGCAGAGAAAGGCAGATCAATGTCTTTTTCTGTTAGACAAAAGTAAACAAACAGTTAAGAGTAAAGGGTTACTAAAATACCTAGGATAAGTTAGTGTGCTGTATAATATAAAGAATGTTACACAGAATCAGAACATATCTCAAACTTCCTCGATTATCTTAAGTTCCTCAAGTATCTTAATTCATGACATCCATAACATTCACCAATGAGACTGAAGTTCAAAACATACTACATTTTTTTAAATGTTTAAGTTACCTATGACTGCAATGGTTTTTTTTTCAATTCTTGTCTATTATAAAAATAAACATTTACCAGCTTTTTCACCTACACAGCTACTTCGGCAACTATCACACTTAAAAATGTAGGGAATAATATTTTGCTGGTAAATTTTTATGCCCTGAATCTAAAACCTGTTTTTCCATTTTTGATATTTTCACCAAGACATCAGGCCTACAGGTTGGAAATTTCCCATTAAGCATACATATAGGAAAATTCCCACCCTTCTTATAAGTAAGCCAGCATGACTCAGCAGTAAAAGCAAGAGTGTTTTGTTGTAGAAGTTGAAGGTTCAAATCTGATCTCAAATGCTGCATTATTTGCTCATTTAGCTATAATTGTAAAAAATTACTGGATATAGACATATAAAAGTCTAATAATATGTAACACCATTAAATCATTAAATTACTTACTTGAACAAGACTCCTGTGTAATTATGGCTAACTCTAGCTAGATAGGAAGTATTAAAAAAGGGAAACAAAAGTGTGGGTATTCTTATGTGACACTTAACCCTATGGTTACAGGTAGGTCCACTGGACACAGCCAATTTGTAGAATGATACACAGTTCAACAAAACATACAATAACTCTAAGTTTTCTTGACGTATCTTCATGACAATTAGTAAGATTTTTTTAAAGATTACAAATGTTTTGTACACAAAGAATAAGATTATTTTAATTAAATATTTCTACTAAATATTCATTATTTATTTATTACAGTTATTTGTTATCAGACTTTGTATAGTTTGAGTGCAAGGTGATTTTCACTTTACGTATAAAATACTTTTTTTATCTTACAGATTTCAAATTTTATTTGCATAATCTCTAGAAACCCCCAAATGATGAATATTAAAAGTTTTTGAAATAAATGTTTATATATTATTTTTCATTTCCTCTACCACATTACTAATTGTAGCTATTATTATCAATGTATAGTGCAATGAAAATTTTAAAGTTAAGAAACAGAAAAATGTACATAACATTTAATTTTTCTTCTAATAATCTTAAATGATCTTTTGGTTATATTCATAATTGTAAGTCTTTACATTTTCAGATATATTTTAATGTCATTTTGCATTTATTATTCATCTAGACACACACGAACAGGCACCCGCAAGCAATATTTCGGTATCACTAGCAGAGTTACTTCAACCTTCAGCAAAATGTTGTTGCACGTGCATACTGCTTTAAGCCTCATGAACTGAGGCAGAGTTTGGGTTATATTAAATTGTTAAACTTTTCAGATATGCACTTTAAAACACAAATAACACATAATTAACTAAAATATAAATGTAAAGCTTAAATACAACTTAACTGTCTAACTGATATGTATGTAGGTGAGAAACAATACTAAGGACAAAAATGGCAACAATGTTAAAACAACCATTGGGAGATTGTAGTTTCTATTGGTTATAAATATATACATCAAATCAGTACATGTCTTGTAAATCTCAAGTCTAAGTATAGAAGGTGGGTGTGGCTTCTGTCAGGGGTTGGAATAATTTCTTTCTTGTTTCTAGGAATTGACCCCCAAGAAAATTGAAACAAGGATGTCTAAACAGTGCAATAAACTTAGCTTGTGTCTAGACATTAGATGTAAAGTTTAGGTCTAGTACTATTCAAGTTCAAGAAACCAAAAAGTAAGAATTGTTAAACCTCGTGGGTCATGTGACAACAAAACTGAAGTTGAAGTATTTTTTAAAGGTTTCTTTTAAAATAAAGGAATAAAAGGTTAGATAATGAAAAACTTTGAATTATAAAGTATATTATAATGCTAATTTCATTGACATATGTTGATAGTAGAATTGTTGAATTATATTTTGAATGTAACTCAGTAAAATCTCATGATAGGTTTGTTTGTTTGTTTTGAATTTCGTGCAAAGCTACACGAGGGCTATCTGCACTAGCCGTCCCTAATTTAGCAGTGTAAGACTAGAGGGAAGGCAGCTAGTCATCACCACCCACCGCCAACTCTTGGACTACTCTTTTACCAACGAATAGTGGGATTGACTGTCACATTATAATGCCCCATGGCTGAAAGGGCGAGCATATTTGGTGGGATGGGGATTCGAACCCGCAGATTGTGAGTCGAGCGCCCTAACCACCTGGCCATGCCAGGCCCTCATGATAGGTACAGAAAGATGTATGACCTATGTCCAAGGGACCAACCCATAAACAGAGGTTTAAAGTTTATGATTGTTTTATAATTATAAAGTTGTTAATAATTTTTTACATTGATGAAGAAATCAGAAAAAATTCAAAAACATCTGCAATTAAAAATATTTTAAACATTACTATTATCTTAATAGTTATTATATATAATACTTCTATTTCCACCTTATTTTAATCCTTGAAAGTAGGTCACCTAATATTATTATAAGTTTTCTTGCCAAATACTAAAGGTTGCATTGTTTGTTTAAATGGAATTGGAGTTAATTTGTTTTAACTGAATTATATATCACAATATGAGAAAAAATCTTTACTAGTTTTGTCACATTAAATGTAAGGACAATTATTTTTAACACAGAATTTAATAGCTTATTTAGTTTGAGTAGAGTTGTTTTATGAAAGATTATGTGGAGAAACCCACAGAATGATACTAATTGTACCTTCAGTTTTGTTTTCATGTACAACTAGGACTAAAAAAGCAACTTAAACTTAAGTTGTTGTACCTGTTATAAAACAATGTCTTTAAATGTAATAGATTAATGAGTCTGATACTTAATTGTTTACCAAAGTCCACTAATTATCCAGCTTTAATCAAGAAACATCTTTAAAGGAATAATTAACAAACTTTACCCTCGAGATGACCTGAGGGTTATTTTAAACCTGCCCTTACACTAGAAGATTTTTTTCCATAATAAAGAGCATCTTCCAATAACCCAACGTTCATTTCTCATTTACTTATGCACATGTGGAGACTGTACAGCCTCCTATATTAGCAAAACTAAGCACCATCTTGAAGTTCAAATGCATGAACATACAAGAATATATCAGTTAAACAAGAATAAAAGTCAACAGTCTGCAATACTTGAGCACAATGATCATGTATGATGTTTGATCAACATATCAAACTTTAGATTTTTTTTACTATAACTAAGTCAGACACTGAACTTCTCATAAAAAGAAAACTTGCTAATTATTTCCTTTCCTCTCTCAACAACACACAATCTTCATACAAATTTCTATATTGTGCTCAGTATAACTGTTACTGTAATCATATTTGTTCTTATTTCTGTAGGTTACTGCTAATGTAATCCTTGTTATTGTGAAACATTTAATAAACATGCTTTATTCTCTTACTTTCATATTTCAAATATGGTCACAATTAAAACATAAAATAAATAAATCAAAGTTTGATAACAAAATAAACAAACACAGATGGGCTAATAAACATATATATATATATATTCAGTAATAAATTACAAAAAAAAACATTTAAATATTATTTAAACCTTGTTACAAAAACATAATTAAACTTCAAAAAAATTTTAAATATGGCTTCTACTTTACCCTAAATTGTTTTTTTACTTTTTTATTTAATAAATTTTGTCTTGCCTTTTAAAAGATATCTAGGTTTTGTGTATAAATTACTACACTGACCTTAGTTTCACAACTTTTCACCAGGACAACGTTTTCTATTCTTATACCAAATCTTCCATTTTCATAATAACCTGGTTCTGAAAGAAAAGTGTAATACTGGAATTAAAATAAGAAGATTTAAAACTTGCCAAACATATATATATTTCTTTAAGCAGCATAAGAAAACAAGCCTAAATCTTTATTGGATTTCATGCATTAAACAACACAGTTCAATTTGCTCAAGGTAGAATTCCCAACAAAAAAGATCATGTGTTTTAAATAAAGCCTTGAAACAAATGGCAGCATTTTTCATAAATTTTACTTTATGTAGCCAGTAGAAAATTTTATTTATTCAAAAGGAATTCAAAGTAAAGATTAGAACAAATTTCTAATTACCTACTCAAGAAGTTTCCAATCCAATTGGCTAGCAGAAGCCATTTATTAGGTACTTCAGCTAATTTAAGCTGATGAGTCCTGTATTTTACTACTATATGAAAGTTATTAATAATGATAATGTGGTAAACTATTAGTACTGGTAGTGGTAACATATATATATTTTTATACAAGTCCAGCCCACATATGAAAGGTTAAAGTATTAGATACGTTGACACTTATTCAATTATTTAGGCCATGATTCACGTGTTAACCCTTTATTAAACTTTGAGTACAATCATTACCAAAACAGATTGTGTAACATGACTGGCAACATCTGAAGATTAAAATATGGGACAATAAAAAGTGAAACAATAAGTCCCTGAAAAATGAATAATTCCCCCAAAATTACAATACTACAAAACTGTTACTAAAAGGCAGAAAACAGCAAAGAGAAACCAGTTAATATTCATAGAGTGATAAGCCGAAAATATCCTCGGCTACTCTTATCCACAACATTTTCATATTCTATAACAGTGTGTAAATCAGCTGATATTTACCATTTGAAAGTATCACCCCTTCTGTTAATCCAGGATCATCTGAATTGGGTCTCCAGCTGATGCCTGAAGGTCCTACAGAATAAACATAATAATAAAATGAAACTCTAAAATAGCTATATGCTAACTTATAAATGAATACGTTGTACTTCTGTGCAGTGGCCATGTAGACCAGTATAAAACAAACATAATGCTAAATGAGCAGGTTTAAATTAATCATGATCAAATTTGGAGTACCGATTAGCAGAATAACTACACCCAAGAAGATTACAAGTTTTTATTTTATTTCTTAGTATACATAGTTTTTACCCATGTATTTATTCATTTGGCTGTACCTAATATCAGTATTCTGGTTATATGCAATATGTAACACTTAACCAGTTTCTTCTAATAAAAACACATACAACCATATTACAAGGCAAATCAGAAGCCATAATTAAAATACGGTCTTAATAGATACATGATCACCATTAAATCAGGAAGATATGAAGTACCTTCATGAACATTAAGGTAAGCACCCACACCGTGGCCAGTACCATGTAAGTAGTCAAGTCCTACCTCCCAGAGGGCTTTACGAGCTAACGTGTCTAGCATTTGTCCTAGTGGTAGAACAAAAAGAACAGAATTAAACATTTGTATGGGATTTTTCTCTCCTTTTTTTAATTTAAGAATCAAACTTATTTTTTAATATAAAGATTAAAACACAAAGCTGAGAGTCAATACAAGTTACAGAATTTTATTTGACAAATACCTTTTGTTCGATTTGGGAAAATGGCAGATGATAAAGCAATATGCCCTTTCAGAACTCTAGTGAAACACTCCTGAAAATATAATTTATAAATAAATAATTATCTTTGGACAACAAGGTAATGAGATGAAATAATGTACAAAAATCAAATGAAAAAAATTATGAATGCAGAGAAAACACACACAATAACTTCAAAACAGTGAATTTTAACATTTCAGTACACTTGACTGAACCCATAAAAAATATAATTTAACAATTTTAAACAACCAATGCAGAAACATTTACTGTTTATCAAAATGTCCACGTTCAACACATTTGTAAAATTGCGGTATCTTAAAAGCAATACACTGTTAACTAATTTACAAAATTTGTTACTTGACATATGCTATACCTTTTTTGATAAAAACATGAAATTTTTCTGAAATATGTCTCACTTTGTTCATCACAAAGTGCTTTCAATGCAAATCTTCGTTTATAATAGTTCTCATAGGGTACTTTAGACATTTCACCTGCTCTTGAGATCAAAACAGACCCAAATTGTACTGTAGATGAAGAGAACTTTCCACCTAATATGTGTGCATGCAATGATTCCTAAAGTCCAGACATAAAGAAATATTTCGAACATTTTAGAAATAATTCTGAAGATTTTTTTCAGATTAATTCCAATTTTGATTATTTAGTAGCAAATAATATGGAAATTGTCTTTATGTCTATATCTGTGTATTTTTAATATGAATTTGATGAGCAATTTTATGAATTTCAAACATAATTTCAAAAATCTCTTAACAAGAATGGTTTCATGGTGTGTTTCATGGTTTCATAATGAGTTTGTTGTTTTGTTCATCACACATTTCACTAAAAGAATGGTTTCATGGCATATCAAATATTTCACAATAAGAGTGGTTTCTTGGTGTATTAAACATTTCACAAAAAGACTGGTTTCAATGGTGTATTATACAGTTTGCAATGAGAGGAATTTCTTGGTGTATTAAACATTGAGGTGAGTTCTGTGTGTCCAGTCAAACAAAACATCTATTAATCAAAATTAAAACCACAATTATTCAAAGCCTTTTTAAAACTCCTCAAAAAAGAAAATGTATTTTTAAAGGCTTTTAAAATCTGTAATATTAAAAACTAAATTCAAAGTCTTTGAATGGGTGTGCAAACCATGGAAGGTCTCTGTGATATTTTTGGCTTTTTAATATAAGAATTGTGGACCCTTGGAAATACATCAGTGAAATTAAATTTAGAAAACCTAACAAATTTTACTAGGTGTTTATACTGAAGTGTAAATTTTGTAAATACTTCTTAGTTGTTTCAGTTTTGCAAGTGTGATTCTACAAGTTCTCAACAAGTCTAGTTGATAATTTGATTCAAATATTCATCTGCTACTATCATCGATATTTGTTCATGTAAGATATGCCTATCAGTATGGAGAATAAAGAAGGAAAGAAACAAAGATATTGTTTATTGATTTACCTATATGGAAAATGTATATTGCTAAAACTGGTTCCTATAGAATGTTTCTTGGTGCTGAGTGTCAAAAAGCAGTAAAAAATAAACCAGTCACCTTGGTTGTTGAATATTTACCAGGCCACCATTATCAATAATGTTTGTTACAAGTTCTTAGTTCTTGGCTTTTTACATTTTATAATAAAATATCCTGTCTCTTTAAACTACCAAACACAATTGCAATGTGAAAAAAACATAATCTTTAGGCACAAATTTTTTTCTTTAAATATGTTTTCTTAGTTTATGTTTTAAGTAAAATAGGCTGATTTTTTAAAACCTAAAGTTGCAGCATTTACAGTAGTTTACTTAATATTAATGAGAATTATTTTTCACAGTTTTACGTCAAAACTTGTTTCTTGGGTTTTAACTGTTGTGGAAACATTAAATTGAAAATGCATCATTATAGATTTGATACTTCTAACTTTTAATATAGTACATATATCTTCACAAAATTTGGCAATCTGTCAGTAAACATTAAAAATCTTTTACATACAAAAATCATATTTTTTTAGTGAAGTATTTTTAATGAAATAAAAAAAATATTTGTCCATGAATATATTGAGTATTTATTTTGAATAGTCCGTGTGCAAAGTGATTTTTATGTTAAAAATAAAAATACTTTTCTGCATCTCAAAAATCTTAATTTGGTTTGTGTATTCTCTAAAACTTCCTAAATACATTTCAAATGTTTGTTTTCACTAAAACATTATATTTTATCTGTTATTTTCCCTACCCTAACTCTTTAAGTGGTAGATCAATTTGATTGACCTTGCAACCACAAAAAAAAAAAAAATCTAAATTACCCTTTTTTTCTTTCTAGAATAACTTCAAATTGTAACACGAAACTGCAATCGTTTATCCTAAGTAGCTTTAAACTCACAACAGTAAACATCTATACATAATTAAAGTTTATTGTTTTATTGCCCTTTGAATGATATCTAACTACTATCCATGCCATTATAAGTTGTAAATCACTTGGGGAACGTAGTAGTCATGTTACACTATCAAATTATGTTACCCATGAGCTGCTCATGTGTGTGCCTCATGAAACATTTTTATTATATTATTATTTATTTTACCTAATCTAACATTAACTAACCTAAATAGATCCCTATTTTTACATTTTAGTTACTTTATAATGATAAATAAAGAATAAACATAAAAAACATGAAATAAAGTAGTTACCCAATCTGCTGTCGAGTGTTGATGACACTTACCCCTACTATATTTTATACTAATGGTAGTAATGCACTTAATAATTTGTTATTTAATTAAATATTGCACCAAAGAACATAGACTAATAACATGCAAAAAGTAGACAATTTCCCCTAACTCTCACAATTTTTCTGGCTTTCTATCTATGTGACAAGAGCCATTACAAGTTCCTCTAAGTTAGTTGATATGTTTTCCTGTTGGAACAAAGCTTGTACTTACAGTGAAATTGACAATAATCCATTCAGAAAACAACGTTATACAATACATTATTTGATAAATGAAAATCTTGGCTTTCTATTGGTTATAGATAATATAGAATTAAACATAAGAGAGAACTATTAACAAATCCTGAAAGAGAGGATGTAACAGTTTGGTATGGCATACCATATTATTTGATAGCTCTGTAACCAAACAAAACTGAAGGCTATAAAAATTATGGTTTGTCTCTGCAATGATGGTTTTATATTGAGTAATTTATGTTTAATTTTGTACTTATTGGAGGGGAGGTGGATAAAATAGAGAAGAGGTCATGCCTAGAGAAAATGTGTCACACTAGGGGAAATTCAGGATTTTTCTAAATATTGTCTTATAGATTATTAACTAAGATTTTATGCTATACTAATTGGTATAACATAAACAAAAAGTAGATTAATTAAATTTTGAATGTAAGTCACTAAAACCACATGTCATGTGCAGTAAAGGATGCTCATGGTGATAGGGTTAAAAAGTATATTTCAATAACTAAATTAGGGCAGCTTATATATAGCCAAAGTTTCTCTCATCTCTCACAGAAAAATATAAACATTTTTTACTCACACATGAAGTCTACAGTTTACTATAAGCTCTATCAAACAAAAACATGCAACAATGTAATAAAAACTGACTTAAATACTCAAGTTTTCTACTAGTATTGATTTATGCTATAACTTAAAAAAAATGTACTGCATACTTTTTCATACTGAGATGGGCTCCCAAAATGCCAGGTTCTGGTTATGTCAGTTGTTCCATCCCTAGAGTGTAAACAGAAAGACAAAATTAACATATAATACTGAAATTCAAATGTCCAACATGTGCTTTGTGATCCTGTCCATCAAGTGTAGTAATTCACATAAGAAAAAAAATCTACATTAATTTATGCAATGTAACAACAAAGAAAAAAAAAAGTTAATTGTTTGTTGTTATTATAAGTAATATTATGGATGATAAGTTATACGGTAAGATTAAAAGATAACTTTTTCTTCAAGATGACCTCAAAGCCTGCATGTGGAGGTGAATGGGTGCAGGGAACAAAAAAGTGCACTGACATATGGAGAGTAGTAATGATGCTCTTAACCCTATCAACATATATTTACACCTAATAAGCTGTTAAAAACAATATTTATAAGAATAAACATTTTGAATATATGTCATATAAAATAGCTTTAATTTAATTTTATATACTAAATTCAGGTTAAATCTTTAGAGGACAATAACATTTAGTAGAAGTCCACTACACATTTACTGCTTACACACTATAAAGCTTGATATAGTTTAATTTCTTTTACACTAAATTCATACTTTAACTGTCACATGATATAAACCATACCTATTTTCCTAATATCATCATCTATTGATAATAATCAATCACAACCATATGCATAAAACTAAGACAGCAGTATATATAAACAACAGTTTGAAACATCAGATATTATTTTAGCAGCTGGGAATAAAAGTTATAATTTTCCTATACTGAAAATGTATTTCGGACAGGTACTTCCCTCCGCTCATAAGATCAGCTATTCTCATTCATTGCTGCCCTCTATATTGCCTTTTGGCAATATAACAATGGAGCACTGGACACAGAAGTCTATCTGGATCAAAATGAGGGTAAAGATGAGAAATATATGAAGGGAATTGGGGAAAAAGGATAAGTTACCCTCTCTAGCCACTGAAGTTTTTGGGAGGAAGGAAAGATCTGGATAAAGGAGAATATAGGTATGGTGGTAAAGAGTGCAAGTAATGTCAATGGCAACGACCACAGGTTAAAAGGAGAAGGAAATACACTTTAAGGGAAAGGTAAAACATAGAACACAAGAAAAGGGGTTCGAACGGAGGTAACGTAAGAGAATGAACACTTTAATATCCCAGCCCGGAAGTGTAGGTCATCGAGGAGGATGACAAATCTGGAAGAAACAGATTAACACAGTAAGGACAGGAGAAGCACGGTACATTCGGGAGTGGAAACAGACACTCAAAGTCCTCATCAGCTTGTCGAGGTTCAACTGATTCAGGAGGAATTGAGGTGATGTCAGGAGAGAGAGGTTGACCCATGTGGCATTCAATCTCCTGGAAAATAAATGTAGACAAATCTCTCATTGGGTTGCCTGCACCTGAAACCTGTGATAAAGTGTCTGTCAAAACTGTGACACCCGAAGTGGTGATACTGACCTCATAATTCATGCTTCAATTGTTGACAACAGCAATTGAATTAAATAAAAGCAACTATTTTGAAAAAGACTGGATTACAGTAAATTTATATTACAGTTATAACCACTTTGAGAAATAATGACCACACACACACAAAAAAAAGACATCCAAGTACAAACACTGCCAAACAAGAAGTGATAGTTCGGTAGAAGCACATAGAGAAAGTCACATGATTTACGTGAGTATACTATGCTCCCATTGGTGGAAAGGTGATGCATAATTATTTGCATGAGAGACACGTTAGAATCACTTGATTCCAATAAGGAGGGCAGCAATGAATGAGAATAGTTAATCTTGTGAAAAGTACCGTATAAGAATTTAATATTTTACAAGTTTTAGAAAGAAAGAGAAAATATGAGGAGTGTGCAAGCTTTGGTTTGTTTTAGTCAAGTCAAGGTTAAAATTTAATTAAAGGTACATACATGTCTGCTGTATTTACATATTGCAAAATCAAACACAAAAGCCATTTTTAAAAGATATCTTTAAAGATTAATTAAAAACAAGACTATTTTTGTATTAATTTCACCAAATTAAGTCCAATTATTGGATGTAATGCTATAACTTTAATTAAACACTAGAATTTTTCTAAAGTATGTATCTCTTTTCAGCAAAGGGGAGAACATATATATATATAAAACAATGAAAACTACTTCCATAAGTTGTCATTATGGAAATATAAGACAGTTCTATAGAGTTTGCTTTCTAACATAAATAATAAAGTGAGAATCAGTACAAATATTGATAGAGCATAAAATAAAAAATATATAACAAAACTTTTATATTCTATTATCAGATAACATTATAACTTGTTGCACACAATACACACATATCAACAGCCCAGAAGGTCATATGTAACATAAGGAGGAAGAGACCTGTCAAAAATATTATTATTAGTATTATTTATGCTTTCAAATTTTATTTTCTTCTCCTAGCCAGAAAACTTTTTTCTTTCTTCCATGTTTCAAGCCTGTACTTTTTTACATTTGAGCTCAAACTTAGGTAAAATAAAACCTGACTTGGGCTCAAACTTGACTACTGATATCAGCCCTAGGAAATAAGAAAATTATGTACTAATGAAACTAACCAATATGAAACATAGCAGTATTTCTGACACATTTTGTAAGCTAGCTCTGCAAGTTGAGATCAAAATCTTCCATAAAAAATATACAAGTGGCATTACTACCTGTATTGACCACCTGAATCACATAAGTAGAGTTCATCAGTCGATAGTGTCCTGTTCGTTTCCTCAACTGGTCGATAGTGGATGATAGCTGCATTAGGACCAGATGCTGATATCATTTCGAAGCTTGGTCCAATGTAGTCAGTCTGTTGACTGTAGAAAACTTTCATGTTAAACTATCATCTTTTAAAGCAAAAAACTTAAATTTTTAGAATTATAACAAGCAGGTTTTATTTGTTACATGTATTTATCATATTTTTAAAGCTGACATTCATTTTAACTAAATAATTAGTCCAGGACAATAACGTGAAAATTATTTAAATTTTAATGAGTCAAAAAATGGAAAACTACCACTTGTGTTACTGAAGAATAAAGTATTTTAATTATAAGTAAATATGATGTTTTACAATACATTGTTTCTGTTGAAAGATTCCAATGTACAAAATCCACTTGATATTCAATAAAAAAATATTGCTCAACCCGGAGTTTGGTTATGTAATAAAGCAAATGTTTGGTTATAACAAAATAAGTTTCAGAAAAACATTTATATTTATAAAAAATAAATAAACAAATAAAATAAAGGTTTTGAATTTCAAACATATAAAATAGCTTTATTGTTATATATTAAATTTATACTATTTTGTAAAATGTTCTAAACAGAAAAGATATTATGTCAAACTGTAAAAAACATGTAATCTGTATTATGTTCATTTCAATTCTACAGGTCTTTTTTGTTCATTTTTAAGTTAGCTGTAATCTATGAGCATTTATCTTTACATGGGTCCTTTTAACCCTCACCCCAGGTATCCTTTACTGTGCATTACACAAGGTTTTAGTGTCTGACATTCAAAATTTTATTAAACTACTTTTTGTTTATGTTATACCAATTAGAATAGCGTAAAATCTTAGCTAATAATCCATATTTTAATAGTATACAAGATTTAAGTTCCTAATTCTACAAGGAAATATATAAAAAAATCCTGAATTTTCACTAGTGTGACACATGTGACACATTTTGTCTTAGTATGTCATCATCCCTATTTTATCCATCACCCCTTGAAAATGTACGAAATTAAACGTAAAATACTCTATAAAATCGTTACTGCTCAAACACCATAATTTTTATAGCCTTCCATTTTGTTTGGTTACAGAGCTATCAAAGAGAAAATCAGACCCCTCCTGCTACACCCACCTGTCACATCCTCTCTTTCACAAATTGTTGATAACTACATTTCATTATATATTACCTATAACCAATAGAAAGTCAAGCTTTTCATCTAACAAATGACATAAGGGAGAGGTAAGTGAATTTGTCTACTTTTTGTATGTTATTACTCTATATTATTTGGTGCATTATTTAATTAAATAAAATTGTTTATTGCTTTACTATAAAAAAAATCAGGCTTAACTCTCCTCAACAATCAAGGGCAAGAAAAAGAAGATTGGGTAAGTAATTTATTTCTTGTTTTTCATATTTATTCTTTATTATTATTATAAAAGTAACTAAAATTAAAAATATGGATATTTTCAAGTTATTTAAGACTAGATTAGGTAAAATAAGTAATAATATAATTGAAATGGTTCACAAGGTACGCATGCAAGAAGCTCGTTGGTAATGTGATTCGATAGCATAATGTGAGCAGCACATTCCCCAAGTGATTTACAACTTATAATAGTTGGATAGTAGTTAGAC